CTTTTGACTTATAACATAGCACCTCTCTGCAAAGACAACAGCTGTTGAAGTTTTGATTTATATCGGCAAGTGCCTTCTCTGGTGGTTTTTATGTTCTTGCTTTGACAAAAGTAGTTTAAATTCTAATAACTGTTTCTTCCTCTGAACACCCTCTAAATATACTACAATAACAACAAAACAATAAATATTTTTGTGCTACACAGGACTGCACAAAATGCTACATAGCATTATTATGTTTTTCTTAGCCTCTTGCATAGTCTTTTATAGGAAATGAAGCCAAATACATTGGTAGGAAAATGAAATGTAAAGCGTTCCCTCTCTAAGCTGGCACTCTTTGYTTTCTTTAAAAATGAATTTTTTTTTGAGTTTTCTTACAGCCTACTGTAGCACTATGCCTCATAAAGATCTTGTGCGTGACATATCTTCTTTCCATAAAGAATTGCAGTTTTCTTCTGGAAAAAAATAAAATAATATTGCAATATTTGCAACGTTTTTCTGTGTTTATCTAAAAGAAAAAAAAATGTCTGCCAGAAGAAGACATCATCTTCATCGGCTTTATTAAATGTACTAGCATTTCGTATATCTGATATATCTGATAGTATGTCACTTCTACAGAAGCTTTATTATTGTATAGTTCCAGCCACATAGCCTTTCACACGAATCTGTGCAGAGTAGAAATCAGAGATGTGAGCAGAGCTGAGCAAACAATATATTTATGTACTTCTTTCTATATATCGTTTATCTCTGAACAGACCCGTTGTTTTGCTTTGCTGASTGAAGTGCAGCTCATTCGGGATCACGCAGGCTTCCTTCTGCATCTGGACTAGGTAATTCCCGAAGCCACAAAGCATTTTTCAAGATGGCTGCGAGCACGAGCAGCAGTGCAAGCAACGTTTGCAGGCTGCAAACGCTCCCACTTGCGCTTAATATCCTTGTGGAAGGGATGCTGCTCGTGTGAGTGTCTGCAGGAATTGGAGGACATGGTTGACCTGTGCTCTTTAAGCAGATTTGCCCATTGCAGGTGTTCAGTGTTGGTGGAAAAGCCTTCGTAAAAGCGATCCTTTATGAAAGAGGGTTTGATATAAAGCATTYTCAAGATTTATAGAAAAAAGACGTTGGTGAACAAAGGTTTCTGTAGGTTCCTAAATTGTGATAGCGATTCAGTAGCTGGGTAATAATTATTCTGTGAGATCATTTAGCAGAAAATCCTTACAAAAATGCAATTATTTTTACTAACTTGCCCGGGATCTTTCCATATGAGATTTAATTTGGGGCTGTGTTTCCTCAGCTCTAGAGCCTGGGGTTTAGCTGCCTTCATGCTTTTGCTCCCCGCGATCCTCAGTGTGTTGCTGCAGCCCCACTTCACTGCAGACTGCAAGGTGCGTATGGGGGGTCCCTCCTACCTCACCCACGCTCAGCTGGTTGTTTCTRCTCCTATACTGCCATCATCCTGGTTCTTTCTAAACTCCCTTTCCCCATAATCTATCTAAATTTCCCTGATATTTTTCAAGGAATGGATCCTGCTTGCAGAGAGGGGACTMTTGTGGGACATAAGGATGATGAATGAGAAGACAGGATTTGGGGCAAAGGAAGGGAGCCAAATGGAAGATGAGCCACTATCATTCTTCCACAGCAGTAGACAGAATRGAGGAAGAATAGGTGCTTGTTCTTAAACTGCATTTAATACAAAATAAATTGTTGTAATTCCAATTGATCTTCTTTTCAAATATTTTCTTTTATGTATTAGCAAATTAATGCTTTCAAAATGGGCCTTTTCCTGACAGTAAAAGGCATGCTACAACTTCTGATGACTTCACTGAAAACAAGTGGGGAGCTCTTGATAATGTATTTACACAGGCATATACAACCATATATATATATATAGAGAGAGAGAGAGAGAGAGAGAGAGTTCATTGTTCCACTGATGTTATATATTCATAATAGAAGCCTTTCATCCAATGCAAGTGGATGCATAAAAGTGTTTTTAATTTGCATTTATTTGTGTTTCAGAGTTGTTTAAAATCCATTTTTGGGATGATGYATCAAAGCACATGAAAAATTCTTCTTGGAGTAGGTGAGAATTTTCTGGTAAATTAAGTGGATATATGGTTAGTACAACAGTGGCATCAGTGGCACCATCTCCCTATAGCAATGGAAACTCTGTAATGCTGCCTGAACAATGAAAAGTCAGATTTACAAATATTTTGGGGAAAACACAAATGTGATTCATTGCTAACTTGTCCCCTGATACTTAGATGGTCAGCAAGCATGCTTAATTGTTTGCAAATCAGTATATATTTTACTAATAGGTATCTTGAAAATTATTTTTCATTGTTATTTGGTGTTTCTTCTATAATTACATTTGCTTTCCTGCTCAGGAAGCAGGTGACCAATCAGCTATCAATTGTCAATAATTAAGTAAAGAGCTTCCAGATTAAAGGTTCTTTATAAATACGAAAGTTCATCTGTATATATGGTGATTTCTCACAAATGAACATGTATTTCATCCATTTTTTTGAATGTACACATACATACCTATGTGCAATTCATAGTTCATACATAAATACAAAAAAGTACAGCTTAAGAAAGTGGTATTTTAAAAGTTGTAGTTTAGATTAACAACAATTAAGGAATTTAGCATAGTGGAACAAAATTTTGTTAAATGRGCAATGCAAAGTTTCAGTAATTTACTCTGAAATTGACAAAAACAGTTTGGGACTGATCTGTATAAATCTGTAATCCCTGACATATTATCTTTCATTTGTTTCAGGTGAGTAGTTTGCCATTTTTATTTCAATTGAWTATTTCTCAATTTAAACATTTTAGTATTCTAGATTTTCTGATAATAATGATATGGAGCTAAGCAGGTAGACTGCAACAAGAAAGAACAATTCACTGAAGTTTTGTTCCAATTAGCCAAGCTTTTTGTAAGGGAATGTAARTATTTGCTGGATGTCTTCATTCTTCAACAGTTATGAGAGAAAAGCAGTATATATTGAGCTGGTAAATAACGGTTGGATTTAAGGAAAGAAAAGCACAGTATTGTCTCAGATAAATATATGTAATTGAAGTTATAAAATTGTATTGATAAGGTTAAATGGATTATGAGAAAATGGATCACAGAAGCAGATGCAGCTCTCCGTACTTCAAATCAGGATTTTTAGGTAAAAACATGTCTTAAGAACCACGCAGAGGAAAGCAGTTTAGTAAAACTTGTCCTCTCCGATAGTTTTGCTTCTTTGGTTGGTTGTTTTGTGCGTGTTTTAAACGAGAATCCTTAATCTGTTCTAGCGCTGCAAACTTTCTGCGAACAGCGTGGATGAATTGTCACTGTTGCAGAACGCTCCACTCGCTGAAAACGCGTTTTAATTTGAAAGCTTTAGGCTTCAGGTAAACATCTTGTTTTACAGCCTTCCAGCTCCACAGCGAGACTCTGAACTTGCAGCTGGAGCGAGCGCCGCGCTCTCAGAGAAGCCCCGCAATACTTTCTCTCAGATACGCGAGTGCCTTAAAAGCAGAAAGTGAGTCTTGCTCTTTCCTTAGAGGAGCCGCAAACTGGCCAGAAAAGGCGGTTTAAGTCGCAGCGGCCGCGGAAACTCCGCCGGAGCGCGCGGAGGCTGCGCGGGCAGCGGCGCGGGCGCAGGGGCAGGTGCGCGGGCGGGCGGGCAACGAAAGCGGCCGAGGCGGCGAGCGGCGCCGCGCGGGAGCGCGCCCGGAGGCGACACGGGGCGCCCCACGACCCTCCCCGCGGCCCCGCCCGCCCGCTCCGCTCCCCGGGCAGCGCCGGTGCCGCCTTCAGCCGCTGCCCCGCGGGGCCGCTGCGTGCGAGCGGGCGCGGGGAAGCCAACTCCCGCCCGGCGCCCTCCTCGCCTCCGCGGCGTCCCCCGTGCCCGGCTCGGCACCGGGTGCCCCCCTTCCCTGCTCGGCACCGGGCGTCCCCCTGCCCCCGCCGCTGCCATTTGGAGCGGGCAGCACGGGCCGGGCAGGTGAGCGCCGGGCCGGGCGCGGGCAGCCCGGTTCGGCTGCGGCAGGAAGGGCCGCCTCGGGCGGAGCGGGCAGCGCTGCGAGCCGCGGGCAGCAGCCGGCAGGAGAGCGGCGGGCGCGCCCGGGTTCCCTTGGTTCCCGGTTCCCCTGCTCGCGGTTCCCTTGGGTTCCACTGGGTTCCGTTGGGCTGCGCGCGCCAACGGCTCCCGCGTGGCCCTCSGGCCGGGCACAGGCGGCCCGGCGGGACGGGGCATGGCGGCGCCGGTGCCCCTGCCCTGCGGCAGAGGTAAGCGGCGGCAGGAGCGCGGGGCGCCGCGGGTTCAGGGCGCAAACGA